ATAAAAATGTAATGAGAATCAAATATGAGAACAACAAAACCATTTAAAAATATTTTATGCCGATGTTATATCTTATAGTCCTGACATCTTCAATCCTCTTCATTCTCTTCTTTGTTTTCAGTGCACTTGGTCAAAGCTTAAATGTCGCCTGTAAAATTGACACAATCCATCACCATTCTTAATCTTCATGCGCGCAATCTGTGGAAAATAAGCTTTTTCCACACAAAGTCTTATCGAACGTGTAAAAATCTATGTGGTAACACAAGCGACCAGCGTACTTACTGTATAGAAACCAGTACAATTCCAATCCTCGACATGAATAATTGCCTCAGAGAATGTCAAGTCGTATAATATGCACCAGCTAAAACTAGAAACCGTAGGAAAGCGAGTAGCGTTTATTACCAAAATTTTGAATGGAAATAGAATTCCCTGTGGTGAATACAGTACTGAGTACATTGGCGAGACAGGAAGGGCGTTAAGGACACGTAGAAAGGAACATGAAGCGCCTGTCACATTGGGAAAAACAAGCTCGTCGGCTCTAGCTGAACATGCGAGCAAAACGGGGCATGCGATTGACTGGAAGGAAACATCCATCTTGAGTAAAGAAAGCCGTTGGTCACAGAGGAGATGGAGTGAGGGGCAATAGAGATTGCAAAGAAGAAGAACGTTCTATTTAATAGGGACAATGCAAGGGAAGGATTATCCCGCAAAATTAGTTACCGCGCGCGCTTATTAGATCTTCCCGGAGCGCGCGCTCATTGTTTTTATGTTGTTTTGTATAAAATGTAACGTTTTTCATTCAGTCTTGATAATGGCTCAGTGAGCCGAAAGCTCGACGGAAATAAAYAACTTTTAGGTTGAAGTAGCGCTTAATCAAATCATCMCAGGACGAAGGCGTAAATTAAGAGGGTAGGGCATATAATTCCTATCAGCCATTAAGGGAAGTCCAGAAAACACAGAAAAACACCGTTTGTCTATGAAAGTCCGACGGGAATGTACTCMTTTGCCATTTTTATTTATCCTTGCTTAGTTGTCAAAAACTGGCAGTAAAAAATCATGCATTCGATTATACAAACGATTAAATTTGGATTTTCCAAAGACTTTCTATGAATTCTCATGAAAAGACCCTTGCCTGCATGACAGTGAGCACGCCGTGTGCACTTCGCGAACGATCTTTTTTTGATAGACCCAATTACATGTAAATTAGCATGTCCAGTGACCATGTCCAGTACTTYTAACAGCATCAAAGCAGACTTTTCATGGCGAAGAAGTGAAGATTTCCGGCAGCGCTTTGAAAAATATCTCTATCTCCAAAAAAAAACAACAAGCCAATTTGATCAAACTCAAGCAGTATATCAGAAAATTTAGCATTTTACGTATTTTCAAGGGCTTTTCAATTCGAGGAATACTAAAGGATTTCAAGGAGTAGCACGAACCCTGTGCAGACAAGTTGATGCTTATGTTAAATCAATATCGAAAATATTTATCTTGCCAATGGTTGTAGAGTCATTTTCATCCGTCTGTGAAACAAATTACTACTAGTCAGTGTTTAATTGTCAGTACTTAAAGATGCGGATCTAGAAACGTATCTTGGATAAATGTTCGCGAAAAATACATTGTTAAAACTTCCTAGAACCGACCGCGTATTTAAGCATTCTTATTCCTATAAGTTACAGGTTGCAAACAAAGTGTGCGCTTACCGTGTTGGCCTATGATTAGTTTGTCGCATGTCATAAGTTAAACAAAACTATTGGGAGGTAATAGGGGGTAATAGTATTTACTAGTACAATTCCTATTTCACAGACAGATGAAAATGACTCTAAAGCGTTGGAGTCTTTGGCAATGCAGTATCGAAACAATATCACTGTTTCCAATGGATAGTCCCTGAAGCTTTTACCACCAACTTGATTTGCAATGGATTGTGGGATCAGGTACTGGAGGAAACAAAAGAAATCGCCATGTTTTGTCCCAAACATATCCTACAATGCATTGCGTATATGACGTAAAAGCTTCAGAGGTCTATATCAGCATTAAATACATACTACAGTTGTCGATATAATTTATTCATAATCAGTTTGACTTGCCCAGAAGTAATATACATAAAGTGCAGTGGTTGGCCTTCACCATGTCGCGGTATTTGTATAATTTATGAATATATTAAAATCTTGTGTCATCTGTGGCCTGAAATAYAAACGCAAAATTAACTACACAATGTTCACTAATATTTGTTCTGTTCGGTCAAAAAGGTTTCAGGTCCGTTTTACACTGGCGATTTTTGCGGAGATTTTTGCGGTCATTTTGATCCTAGTAAATAATATTCAAGAATTAACTTGAAAAGTTATATTCAATACACTGAGATGTGCTTATACTAGACGTCTTTTCAGAAGCATAAAAAAGTTCTTATATTTTTGAAAATTGTAGTAAAATTTGTAGCAAAAATCGCTAATGTGAACCGTCCTTTAACTGTCGACATTGATCAATGGTATTTACCCTTCTGTTGTAATATATTCTGTCTCGCTYGTATAAACGCTTTGATATCTTCATCTGCTTGACTGTCGCCGGTCAGCGGTATACTAGACCCAGTAATCCTACAGAGAACAGTTTTTAAAMGTTTATTATTTCTGACAAAAATTCTCAGTTGAAACATTTAATTTCGAAATAGGTTTCCATAATAATAGTTAATAGACCAGCTTAGACACCATCACGGTACTGATAAAGTACCAAAATGGCGTCCATTTTATAAAAACTATGCAGGACGAAATTCCTCGGCGAAATGAGCTTTACGCATGCTGAGAGGAGACTGAGACCAAGTTACTCTGTTTCAGCAAACAACACTACGCGAAGATGGTTTCAAGGATTTTACTAGTGATTTACAATGAAATCCAAAACAACAATRTTGTAAAAATGATTTTACATGCTTACCTTGATGAGCTGTGCGAGTTCTTGGCGTGACTGTCACGYGCATTGTCCACGCYTCCGCTTGACGTCATCTCCRACGAATAACCKCTGCTCGTTGASAAGTTACTYGTGAGTCCTGACGACGCCAGTAGAGCCTCTGCTCGAAGTTTATTCGCCATCTTTCCAGAACTGCTGGATGATGATTGACGGTTTCTATGACGACGTGCTGATGAGGCTGAAGGAGGCCTTTCTGTCGAGGGTTTAATGGGAGATAGAGGTGGAGTCCTCCATGCATTTGCAACATGGTTTCTAGACTAAAAGTGAGGAAATGCACTTGGAAATAGTTCACAAACACAGTAATCAACAAATGCGCCCTGAGCAGGGTTAATCAAGTCCCGATTCATATATATATTAGTGGTGTGTATTGTATTATTTTGTAACCTATTTTGTGTATGTATTGAATATATATTGTGATAATTAAAAAAAAA